TGGTGCTGCTTTATGACGACATGTCCTTCCAAAAGGCATCATTGTAGAAATCTATTGTTGTGTTTTAGTAGTTTTTGGTCTATCATGCCTCGCGATGGCATCCACGGGTAGCCTTTGGGAAGTAATTAGAGCTAATGCGCCAAGGTGACAACGAGCTAGGTAATGATGACTCAAAGTTGTGTTTGGTTGTGTTGACTGGGGATACCTGTGGACCAGATGAATAGTGTATTGGGGTACGCTAGTACGAGGATGTAACGCTCCGCTTTTCGTGAGACGTTAAAAACTAATTCGGCAAAATCCTAATTGCGAAAATTTCGTTCTTTGTGTGCGAGTCTATGTTATGCCAAGGATCTCAATTCAAATCCCGTTGTTCCCTCTCATCGAAATCAAAATCCTCCCCCTCATCCAAATTCCTCTTCCGATTCGAGTCTCTGAAATCAAATTCTGAAATTCAAATCCTTCCTTTGAATCCTCGCCAAATACTTCTACAAATCCAGAATTATTCAAATCTCGCCCCGAATCCTTCCCTTGACTTCACCTTATGTTCCTAAAGTCAAAGTATCAAGGTTAAATTCCAAAAATCCTTCTCAAATTCTCTCCAATTGAAACCCCCCCCCCCCACCAAATCAGTTCTCTCGAAAAAAGTCTAAATTGCGTCCTTCTTGGCTGTGGGCCGTTTCTCCCTGGCTCGGCCCATTTCTCCTCAGCTCCCTCCACCTCCACGTGCGCTGCACGCGCCGAGAGAGAGAGAGGCATCGCCTCTCTTCTTCCTCTCTCCTTCCTCTCTCTCTCTGTTTCCTTTCTCTCTCTCTCACGCCAGCGCTGCCGCCATCGCCGCTTCCCGCCGTCGCCGCCACCGCCTTCGCTCCTTCCCGCGCTCGCGCGTGGCCGACCGGCCGGTCGTTGCCGCCGTCAGCCCTGCCGCGCCCTCGCGTCCGCGCGCACGCGCTCGCGCGTGGGTCGCCGCCGCACCAGCCCCGCTGCCCTGCCGCGCTGCACCACGCAGCCGCACGGCCCCGCGCGCGTGCTCGAGCCGCTCCATGCGCGTCCTGCCAAAACCCGGAGGCCGAGCTCTCCCTCTCCCTCCTACTCCCTTCCCGAATCGGCTTGGAGCGAGCCTCTCTTTTTTCCCCTTCTTTTTCCCTTTCCCGACCACCATCGGCGTCACCGCCTGCCACCGCCTGGACCACGGGCGCGACCGCCAGCCCGCGCTCACAACCCAAAATTCGGCCGTCCGATCCACCGCCTTCGCCGCCCAAAGTGTAACGTCCCGCCTCCCCCAGGCCGGGCCCACTTACATCTGATAGCTTTCATAGGTCATAGACTGCCCTCACATACCAACACATGTCTTTTCTGCACACTTTGTCCTCACTCGTGTGCACCCGGGAAGAATTTCCCGGTCGGTCACCCATCCCAAATTGCTCCAGGCCAAGCACGCTTAACCCTGAAGTTCTTTGGAGATTGGCTTCCGAAAAAGAAGTTGCAACTTGTTGATCGACGCCCCCCCCGTCGATCAACCCTAGGCCAGGAACGTCCTCTCTTGGCCACGTCCATGTGTCCAGTGCCAGCGCATGTGCCATGCTGTGTAACCACTCCCGGTCTACACCAGCCATGCGCACCATGCCTGCGCAACTGCGACACACGCGCCCGTGAAACCGCGAGAGTCGGCTCTGATACCATTTTGTAACGTCCCGCCTTCCCCCAGGCCGGGCCCGCTTACATCTGATAGCTTTCATAGGTCATAGACTATGCCCCCCCGTCGATCAACCCTAGGCCAGGAACGTCCTCTCTTGGCCACGTCCATGTGTATGTGTCCAGTGCCAGCGCATGTGCCATGCTGTGTAACCACTCCCGGTCTACACCAGCCATGCGCACCATGCCTGCGCAACTGCGACACACGCGCGCCGGGCCCGCTTACATCTGATAGCTTTCATAGGTCATAGACTGCCCTCACAAACCAACACATATCTTTTCTGCACACTTTGTCCTCACTCGTGTGCACCCGGGAAGAATTTCCCGGTCGGTCACCTATCCCAAATTGCTCCAGGCCAAGCACGCTTAACCCTGGAGTTATTTGGAGATTGGCTTCCGGAAAAGAAGTTGCAACTTGTTGATATGAGTATTCTATTAATTCTATTAAGCCCTATAGGCCGGGATGTTACAGGATCCAACTAACATTTTTTCTACAGAGGGAGTACGCGTGATTTCCTGCCCGACCTCTTGTTTCTCTGAAGCATTACATATGCCACGTTTTTGTTTGATGTCACGTCAACAGCATATAATTCTTAGACCGGCACGCGTCTTACCGGTCGAATGGTAAGCAGCGGTCGGTGGGACAAGTGGCCAGAGGCAGCCGCCATCTCACCTCAAACTGCTGAGATGGGCTGAGGATCGATGGAACGCTACCCGGCCTGCCAATCGATCGAGATGATGCGAGCTTTTTTGCACTGTGGAACCCAAGTGAGAAACATCAATCATTGACCCGTGAGAAAAATAAAAAGAAAACTGTCCGTAGGCGCTGCTATGTCTGATGGATCGATCCCGTTCGATGCAATGTTTGCAAACCATTTGACGCCGGTGGTGCGTCCGTGCGAGTGGACAGATGAGATGAAAAGCTCACGTGGACAGAGAGAAAGAGAAGAGAGAGTAGTAGTAGTAGGTAGTATAAGCAGTGCAGCTTAGCAGTAGACATTTGGAAATGGTTGCACCGTTATATCCCTGTAGATGCTACTAGTGCACTGCATAGATCAATCACATCAGCTCCCCTCCCCGGCCCGGCCCTCCATAATTGCGAGGCAGCAGCAGCCGGCCATGCATGACGCTGCTGCTGCCTCGGCCCAGTACTACGTGCCATCCATCCGTCCATACATCCATCAGCTAGCTGCTGCCCTGCCTTCTCTGCTTGCCCCTGCCTGCCAGTGCCACCAGTACGTAGTACGTCAAGCAGAGCAGCAGTGTGACGAGTGTGACGAAACCGCCCCTAGCTCAGCTCGATCCAGCTTACGCCGCGGTCTCTCCCCCGGCCTCCCCTCGCTTGACTGGCCGGTTCGATCCATCCCTGCGCTGCGCGGCCGCCGCAGGCTTTCGACGACAGCCCGCGCGCGCGCCTGCGTGGCCGCAGTTCTGATCGTCGCTAGCGCTGGATCTAAGGCGCCGCGGCACGCTGGAAACGGCACAGCTGCGTGCTACTGCTAAGTAGCTGTGCCGTGCCGTGCAGTGCAGTACCGTGCCCCCGGCAGCTCGCCTCGCCTGCCATTGCACGCCGAACGATGCGTGTGGTGTGCGTGGCGCTAGCTAGCTGCATGCACGGAGTTGTATCCATGCGCCGAGCGCTGTCTGTTTGTCGTCGTGGGGGGCATATGCGCGCACGTACTTTCCTACCGATAGAGACCCGTCAAACGCCGGTTCCGACCCGCAGGTGAATGAATGGATCAACATGCATCTTCCATACTTCTTCCATTTCGCCAAAAAAACGACCTCTAGGGACGTGACTAACACCGAAAAAAAGTTGATCCAACTCCAAGTATACATTTCAATTTTCCCAAGCAAAATTTACTTTGGTAATTAAATTAACTGTAGCACCAATATGGAGGCACGGATCTATGATATATAAACGAGTCTTTTACCTCCAATTATTTGACACTCCGTGTGTCTTGCTGTGGCCACGGAAGCATGCATACGTACGTACGTACGTGGTATAGTACGTGCCTAGGTAGCTAGGCTAGTCGGCGCGAGCGAACAGTCGCGTTAGCGGACGGATGCGTAAAGGCCAGCTTAATCTTGGGCCCGTTTGCAGGCATGATCGAGGTCGCGACAGGCCGGGTCAGAGTTGTTGATCAGGGCTAGCTGCTGCATCACTAGTCATTTCAATGGACGGAGGGCAATGTACCGGAATAACATACCAAGTCCAATAATACATCAATCACAATTAGTGGGCCCTAGAATCGATCTCGCATTGCAGATCGTGCCAAACAGGATATTCAATTTGTCTCGATTTTTTTAAAAAATTAAGTTTGCCAGGACTGTTCACAATGTTCGTCTATATCCCAAAATTATTCAATTAGCAGAGATATCTCCTTGGGCTTCATTTTATTTTCTTTTAGTTGGCTATACTACATGAGGCTTAGTCCTGTACATGCATTTAATACTACTCATTACAATGTTTGCGATTTTTATTCGTAAAAAGATCTTGAAATGAAATAACATTCAACTGACCACGTTTCATCACATGTACTGTACTATTACACTTCTAAAAACTGTTTCCTTTTACATGCCGTCTAAATGTGCAAAACTTTATCTTAAAACATTATAAATGTCCATTTAAAATTGGGTTAGGTCCAATTCAACCCCCCCCCCCCCCTCAGTTGTTTTGAGGCGGTTTGGCGGTACGTCAACTCAAAAGTTAAAAAAATATTGGGTTAGAGCCAGGGTTTTAAATTTTGAAATTGGGTTTTATGCCAGGGGTTACTGAAATTTCGGAAATTTCAAGCCGAAATTATTTAAAAATTTGACCAAATTCACAAAAAAAGCAAAAAAAACGAAAATTTCGGGTGAGATTTGAGTATGCTGGTGGGGGGCGAAATTTCGGAAATTTTGAACCAAAATTTCAAACCCTGGTTAGAGCTTTGCTTATAATTACAATTCCGTAGTTTCGAGAAATAAAATTGAGAACCGTGCAAAAATATAGTTCTATTTTCAAAATAGACGGAATAATTCTTTAATATTACAGACATATTTTTGACAAAGAATATGCTGCTACGTTGTCTTATTCGTGTTGATATAGTACGTATATATTTTTTACATAATAGAAATATTTTATATCTCTAGTCTCACACAACCAAATGTGATGCGTGAACTCGTCGTGTCATAATTCAAAACTTTTTTTTACTGCTGGTCCCCACTTATATAAAGAGATCAGTCATTAAAATCAAATATATATTATGCTGCCAATGGGTTCAGTTAAACCAAGAATGGTGAAAAGGGTTTCAACTCCCCACCCCTAAAAGAATCAGACGATTTGATTTCAAATGATCACCTGGTAATTAAACCAAATCGATCTAGTTATGTCCATAAGATATATAAGAGGCAGCACGCACAGCTAGCAGCCTCTGTACAGGCGAATAGGAATAGGAAAAATTAAGGGGAAAATACATGAAGAAACTGAGAAAACTAGAATTACACATAGATAAGGACTTAGATACGATCGATGCATGCCAAGATGCCATGCATATGGTGCCATGATCGTCCATATATAGAGGAACATTTCAGTTAACAAGCAACCGGAGATCATATCTGGAGATCGAGACATGCAGGACCCTAACTACAGGGTGGGACACAAAGTTTTTTTTAAGCCAGATCGTGCATTGATCTGAGGCGTTAGAATGGAGTGACACCCATGCTAGATGCTGCTGTGGCTGCTGCAGCGGCGGCGGCTGCAGCGTAGAGACCGTCCTTGAAGAGCATGCATTCCCCAGCTCCGTCCTATAAAAGCACAAAAAATACTATAATTAAGTCTCGGTTTTATATTCATCCATTGACATCGATTCTCCACCAATAGAATTAGGGTTTAGATTTTAGGGTCCGTCTTTACTCTTTACCTGGCTTTGTATGCCGGTCTTCTTCAGGCCCTGGTCCGGCATCAGGCCAAAATGGATGTGTGGGAAATGGGCCCACTGGTGCATGCACAAAGATGAGACAGAGTAAATACGAATTTGGTTTATATATACAGTGGAGTATGCTGCACACATCACATGCATGTTTTTTTTATCAAGAAATTAAACGGGGAGATTTTGTACGTTCTTGGCAGCAGCGCTGAAAGCCTCCCTGTGGGTGATGTCCGGATTGCTTGCCTTGATGCGTTGTATCTCATCTCTGATATTATACGTGTCATAAACGGAGTGAAGCACGAGTAGTTTTTGTCAGATGATGTAATTAAAAGAGGAAACCAAAATTAAACGATGTGAACCATTATCGATGATTACTCACTTGATGAATCGGTTGTATGCCGAGGGAACCCTCTGCCGCTTCTCTGAAGCTGCAGAATCACAACAATGAGCCGAACATAATTACTTGGTTAACAGAATAACAGCGTACTTTGATGACACTACTGCAGCACTGCTGCAGTTCAAAGACCGAAGCAGCACGGACGCAACAAGGCTAGATCAGTTGAAAGACCATATGTACATTATTAGTTCGCATGTGCAACCTGACCATTAATGTTGCTCCCTGTGAGCTCACAGAACAAATTAGGGACTGGTTGCCACGTTACGTTCTGTCTGTTTGAAGCAGTATTCGATCTGGAGTTTAGAATAGTTTTCCATTTGATCTGTACGTGTTCTGTTCCCTTTTCCTTAACCCCTCTTCCTATTTTTTTATTGATTTTTTGTTTTGTCAAGACTCAAGTGATCTTACCTATCTTTGCACTGTGCATAATTAACGTCGGGATTTGGGAAGAATTCCTCCACGGACAAAAGGCACTATTGAGCTGATGTGAAAACTATTCGACCCCCTTCCACTTGTTCGAAAACTTCATTGACCATCGAAAAGAACTCTCAAAAGGAGAAGCTCAAAGAGGAGCATGCTGTATTCGTGCCACCAAGAACAGTGTGTGCTACTGCAGCGCACGCGCACGCAGCTATCTATAGCCAGCTTCTGGAGTTCTCTCCTAGCTATACACAGCGTTGCCGGAGGATCGAGGAGGAGAAGGCGAAGGAATGTGGGAGAAGTGAGGCACTTACTCCTGTTGGCTGACGGCGCGTTCTTCGGCTGCTGCGGCTCTCGCTGGGTAGCCTTGTTGGCCGCCGACGCCATCGACGTCGCCGGCGCGTTGTTAGCACAGCTGCTGTTGCTGCTCGTGATGCTGCTCACGTTGGGACTCGCCTGTTCGGTCATTAGGCTCGCCGGCGCTTGGAATGACGGCACCTCATCCTGCAAGCCGAAAATGATTAAGCATCCGGCCGGCCGGCGCAGTGAGCAAAAACTAAGTAGAAATAGATCGTTGTTACGTACAAGGAGGCCGTGCGGTGAGGTGGGGGAGAGGAGAGCCTGGCCGAAGGGGAGCTGGTTGGCGGTGGAGGCGGCGGCCGGGAGCAGGAGGCCGCGGAGGTTGACGGAGAGCAGGTTGGCGCAGTGGCCGCACCGCACGGTGACCGTCTTGAACAGGCTGCTACACGGCACGCCCACCTGCAAATGCAACGGAACGAGGCTTTATTCAAGGGACGTACCGGAGTCCGGAGCTATAGTTAGCTATTACGGCCGGACAGATCAACGGCGCCCGGCGAGGGAACAAGCGCGCATGTACGTACCGCGAGGATGGTGTCGCAGAAGTTGCAGTGCACGTAGCAGAGCTGCTCCTGCTCGGCGAGCGGCGGCGGCTGCTGCTGCTGATGCTGCGAGAGGTGGTCCAGCGAGAACGTCTCCGGCGCCGACGACATCATGGCGCGTATCCTAGCTAGGTGATCCCTGCCCGGCCGGCCGGCGCGCGCGGTCTTGGCTTTCAGCTGGGTGATTTGATAGTGCGGTGTTCAACGAGGAGAGGGAGAAGGAGGGATGAGACTAGTGGAGATGAAGCTAGCGGATGGGGGGAGGAAGAGGGAGGGATCGGAGGGGGTATATATATGGGTGGCACCGGCTTATTTGGTCCCCCTCTGGTCTGGATGTGATAGTATTTCCGTTGATGTGATGAGGTGAGGGTGAGGTGAGGTTTGAGGCGGTTTCTCTTGATTTGATGGGTACGTGAGTGAGAGTGGCTCGCTGCTACTAGCTCCTGATGGATTTGATGCTTTAATGGACCTTGCCCGATTCGAGAAAGCCTCGGATCTGTTGTTGCTTCTGATTTGAAAGCCCGGGACGCAAATAATGGCCGGCCGGCTGGCTGGCCGGGGAGAGAGGACGAGTGTGTTTTTTTCTTTCCCTCTTCGCGACCCCAGCCGTGACAGCGACAAAGAGAGCAAGGCAACGCATCAGCTGAGCCTGAGCTGCTGCTAGCCTTGGCCCTTGGGTGAATGGACGCAGCAGGCTCCACTGTTGATCAGGCCAGGCCACAGGCCACTGCGCCCCGGGGGCAGATTGGGAAACGCGAGGGGGGCAACAAAGCCAAGCGTCCAGTACACACACACTCTCTCTCTCTCTCTCTCTCGCTCTCGACTGGGAACAGTGGCTGCGACAGTAGCCGGTAGCTAGCATCTTGGGACTGTTCCGTCTGAAAAGCGGGCAGAGGGGTGCAGGACGAGTGGTGGGGATCGGGGTGCAGACAGAGGCTGATGCCGATAGAGCTTCGCCGAGCAGCGGGCGGGGACGGGGGATGCATATGGGTGGGCCTCGCGGCTCGGTGTTGTGTAGGCCGGCCCACCTGGCGCCCTGTTCCATGATGTGGTCTGGTCGCAATTCGACGCGTTCGGCGCAGTGCCACAGTGCTATTTTCAGTCGCTCGCGATGGGGCGTAACCTTTGCAGGGATCATCTCATCGGTTGCCCATCAAACAGACCATCACTGTGTCTAATCTTTGTATAGCTCGGCGTGGTCGTTACATTCCGTCCATAGTCACAGGCACTCGGATTGGACAGATAGCTAAGGCTCTAAGCTAGCTCGCTGGAGAACACGTATATATATGGATCACCTTATCCCCTTCCTGAACAGTTAGCACTGTTAATCACAGCGTTCTCCTTTGGCATTTTTATTTTTACCTATCTCAGTGTTCCACTCATCTTCTTTGGCACCAGGTCCATCACTTGTAACCCCCAGTGTTCCGGCCCTCTTCTGTTTTGAAACGAGGACGTGATTTGTCAGCCGCATGGTAGGGCTTCCCTGTCAAAATACTGGCTGCATCATTACAGCTTGTCCGCAGGAGAATGAACCAATCGAGATTTCGCGTGCTGTTTTGGGTTATTCGAGGTCTCTGGTCGATCTTCTGCTTTGGTGGTGGGGCGTACGTCGTCTCTAGCTTAGCCCGGCCTCTTCAGTTTTGTTGCTACTTTAGCGCCTCTGCGAGGCCTCAGGACTGGACGCTCAGGCAAAATTCAGCATGCCATAATAACTGAATCTGCACTTGTGCAGGCTACATAGCAAAGCTACCTGGTGAATTGATTTCCCTCCTCCGGCCTCCAATGTAGAGTAAAACATATGTGTAATCCGTCGTCCTTTGCCTGAGCAAGCTGCACGCCTTGGAGATTCGATCCCTGTGTCGGTGTCAATGCGTGCCTCGTTGCTCAGTGTCTGCCCCCCTCCTCCCAAAACCTAAAATACATATAGTAGTAAGGAGGGAAAAAAAAAACTGCGCATGCATGGTCCCGTAACTACGCAGGAAGTAGGACGTACTACTGTTCCGTAGCCGGTGTAACCCAAAGATGAAGCACAGTGCGCAGCCGAACAGGCCAAAGCGCAAGGGGAGAAATGGGATAGGCAAAGGTAAGCACGCACCCGCCCGGGACCAGCTCATCCAAATGACCAAAGTGTCTATTGCTGCATGTCGTTGCTCGCGTGTCAGGGGGCACGATTGCACAGGGGGTGCTTGCCGGTTTAGCTAGCTAATCAATCATCGTGGTAAAATCTGCATGCAGCTAGCGGCCTCGCGTCCCTTTAGCTCAGGTGCGAGCGTGCCGGCATCTCACGCACATGGCCCTCCCCCGTTACGCCGATCGAGCTGCAGCCTGCAGGCTTGTGCAGTGCTGCTCGCTCGCTTTCGTCTCCGTTTCACTCTTGCCAATTGCCATGTGACATGTGAGCGCGGCCTTTGGCGTCGCGAAAATACAGTGGCTGCTGCGCTGCCAAGCTTAAGATCCTGCGAATGGAAAGACGGATCTGAGGGGGTGGACTTTCGGTATGTGAATATAGAAATTCTCTCCCTGTGTAGCCTATGCTGCATGCTCCGATCGAAGAATAGGGAGTAGCTGCTTGGTTTACAGGCCGGTAACGACGCTGTCGACGCATGCAGTGTGCAGAGCCGCGGAACTAGGTATAGCTATAGGAAATGTGCGTGAGGATCCGCTAAAAAGCAAGCACCAAAGTGCCATGCACATACTTGTATGCGTAGCCTGCCCTCATTATCTAGGTCAACTTATAGCTAGCTTTACGCATGATTCAGCGGATAAAAACGTACATGAGTGTTATAATGCGGTTAACGTGCTACTAGTGCGTCCGAAAAATCTTACTTTGTGCATAGGAACCGGTCTCAGATTGAGACAAAACCCAGCCGCCAGATTGATCCGATCGATGTTGCATGGCTACCAACTCGATCAGTACACACGCCTAGAACACGATCCGCGAAACACGAAAACAGAGACATGCAATATAGAGCCTGCTGTAACTGTAAACGTGCTGTCTTACAGAAGGCGATGGCAGAGACCAAGCTAGCTAGAACAGCGGCTAACAGACCAAGCTAGCTAGAACAGCGGCTAACAGACCTACAGAAGGCCCCGGAGTATCTAGACCTCCTTTTGCAAGTTGTAACGTGTGCCTAGCCTAGCAACTTTAACAGCGGTAAAAAAAAAAAGTCGAAGGCACAGAGAAAAGGCTAGCAACAGTATTCCAGCAACGTTCGAAAGGAAGGGTAAAAAAAGAGTGCACAAAAGAATACCACCCACGAGGTCAACGGTCAGAATTTGTATGTTCACTTGAATTCACAATTGGGACAGGAGTGCTGGACACTGAACTGACGAAACTGTACATTGCCCATCCACGACCAAGAGGTAGATTGTTGTCCAGGCCGATGCTTTGGACCCAAACTTTGCACTCTCCTTTTCCTGATTTCAGGTCCTATAACCTAAAATTTGTTACAACGGCCCAAACTTATGAGCCAGCCCAAAATCGCATTTCACTCGCTAAGCAGGCCACGCCCCAGTCCAACGCCTGCCTGGGTCGTCCCCTTTCCTTCTCCGCCTAGGACTCCTCCCCGTACACGGGTTCGACCTTCGACGAGCTCGATCGACCGCAAGGGGAATGCGACTCGTGAGCGCGGCACTCCGCCGCCGTGTGCCCATCCCTCCGCTTCGCCAAAGATAACGAAGCCGCGACGGCCGCCGGGCTTTCTGATCTCTCCGCCCCCGCTCTTCCCCCACGGCCAACTCGTACTGAAGGCTGAAGCACTCGACGCGTCTCCTGTGAGAGGTTTAGATCAAAACGCTCCTACACGTACTGCAGTTTGTTTTTCTTTCTTTATCTGTCGTTATATGATTTGCTTTATCCTACATTAGTGGATTCCGAGGGGTTTTAGAAATCTCAGGTACATAGTTACATAGACGGAATAATAATTAGGTTTGTTCAGGCGTAGTAGTATTCTTTTTTTTTCTTCAGGTTTGTGATCAGGTTTAAATATTTTCTTTCTTCGGTATGGACCGTATGGTAATATTCTCTAGCTCGTCTCTGCCGGTAAACTTCCCATCACAGAAAATTCAGGTGCACGTGCGTATAGCCGTATATATCAAAGAGAAATAGCGAATTCGACATGTAGTCCTTATAACTCCGTAATGCGGATAATAGACTGCTGTCTATCAGGCAGCCACTTGTTACAGGCTTACAGCTGACAATTTTTTTCGTCATGAACCTTTAAGTAACTCCTTACGGACTTCACAGTTCAAACACGGAAGATTTGATGGCAAATTAATTAATCATGCATGCATGTATAACCACTTCGGTTATACTTTATTAGTATATATAGATGGGCAGTTGGTAATTACCATGACAATGCTAGCTATTTATACACTGTATCAAATCACACCGCAATGTTATTAGGCTGTATACAATGGCGTATATGTTAGTATGTGTTTTGCATCATTCACGCGGCTATTTCCACAAATCCTCCTCCCCTCCGCAGGAGGCAGACGTGGACACGTAATCCAAGCTATCCTCCTGCTTCCCCTCGACCTGAAACACCTGCACCGGATTGCAGTAACTGGGCTCCTTCGCAGTCGAGTCGCCGTGGCCGAACTGAGACGCCACCAGCTTGTCAAGATCCCTCCAATCTGCTGCCGACGCATCGGCCGTCACGTAGACCGGCTCGATCTGCAGCTGCAGCTGCTGCGCCGTCGTGTGGCCGCACGGCTGGAGAGCGGACGACGCTGCGGTGGCGACAATGATGTCGGCGGCCGGTAGCTTGGGGCTCTCCAGCCTTGGGAGGTGCATGAACGGCGCCGCCTCCTGAGGAAGGAGGTGGTGGTGATACTCTACCTCCAGCTTGCAAGGGTGGCTCTGGCGGTGGCCATGGTACGGCGAGTCGAGGCCTGGCGCCGGCGCCATGAACGCGACGTGCTCGTTGAACCAGAAAGGTGAGTCGCCGCCGTCGCCGGCCGCCCTTTGCACCGCCGCGACTCGCTTCTTGAACACCCTGCAGACCACCCATCCTTCCTCCTGAACATGGAGCATGTTAGGTGTCTGAAGTCTGAATCCTCGGTAGCATGCATGCACTAGTACACAAACTTACTTGGGGAGCTCCGTATTCGTTGGTCTCCAAGCGATACTCGTGCATGATCCAGTCCGACTTCTGTCCGTTGGGAGCCCGGCCCCTGTAGAAAACCAACGTCTTCCTCATCCCAACAAGGCAGTTCTTGACATAGATCGGCTTGTCCCTCCCGGTGGCCTTCCAAAAGCCGGCAGTGGTCGCCCTGTTGGTGCGTGTGCCCGTCGGGTACTTCTTGTCCTTGTGGCTGAAGAAGTACCACTCGTTCTGCTCCTCGTTTCCAATCTTGCATTGTTCTGTTTGAGCATCATTTTGGAGATGTCGATTAATTAGCTAGTTATGATATTACAGGGTTAGAGATAAGCAGCAAGCTTGTAGAATAAGTGGAGTAAATTGTGATTACCTTGTAGGTCCCAAGGCTCAATTTTGTACAGATCAATATCTTTTATGACGTCCAAGTCTATCTTCTTCAGTGCTACCTTCTTCCTAAGGTAGTAATCCACGAGTTCCTCGTCAGTAGGGTGGAAACGAAAACCTGGCGGGACATGGGAGAATGCGTCCATCTTCTTCCGCGGATCAAAGTATAGCTCCCGAACTGGTAGCAAGTTAATATGAACTGCATGCACGATAAGAAGCTATATTTCAGTTACAGGCTAGTTTGATAACGATGCATATATGCATGTGTAACGAATTCCAAGGAAGAATTTGAACATATAGCATCCAACTTCTCGTTAGCTCATGTCTACTAGTACTAGCTAGAATCAGGAAATCTCACAGGAAATACTCCTTTTCTTAATTGAGAAAGCATTCGATCGGTTTGCACCTGGTCTCTCTAACGATTCTGAGGAGTTTCTTTCTTTTTGTAGGAAGATGAATCGGAAATTCATCCAGTGAAGTTTCTCTGACCAGAGGCTGGTCTCTCTAACGATTCTGAGGAGTTTCTTTCTTTTTGTAGGAAGATGAATCGGAAATTCATCCAGTGAAGTTTCTCTGACCAGAGGCTGATTCTCGCTCTTCTGCACTCCTATAGAAGACTAGCTTGATCAACAGGAGGTGTATCCTTGCTTCCACTTCCATTTATGCATCCATGATGAAACCTTTGCCGGTTTGTGTGAAAAAGAAGACGAGATAGAGGAGGACAGGAGCATCGAGTTCAAGTTGTTCAGCTAAACAAACCGAGCGCAAACTAGGGAGAGCTAAAGTTGCTCGCCGTCCTATCCGACAAAGCACACTGCACACACCTAGGCCCTAGGGACTCGCGAACCTTGTACCCACGAAGACGGAAGAAAAGACATCGCTAATCACGCAGCACGTACCCCAGTTCAGCACGCGCGCACAGTGCGCGGTAAACAAACAAAAGGTAAAACAAGCTAGCATCATCGATCAAGCAGAAAACCACGGGTTGGAAATGGACGAGCCGTCTCTTACCTTGTGCGCGCGCGCCTGCAATTGCTACTGCTTCGTAGCTTGCAGCAGCATGCAGCGCCTCCCTCGGCCAGCAGCAGCCAGCCTTCAAACGGATGGAGCAGCTATATCGATCGCATGAGGAGGGACGAGGCCGCGGCGGGGTCTATATATCCCGCGCGCGGTGGTGGTGATGGCCTGGGCGCGACCGAGGTGGGTGGCGCGCGCGGAGGGCAGGGGAAGGGGACGCGGCCGGAAAGCGCGGACGGATTGCGGGCCAAGGCTGGCTACAATCCAGGAGCACCGCGGCCGGAGAGCGACGCGGCGGAGCCCCGCGTTTTTCTATTGGCCTTCTTCGCCGTAACCGCCACCTCCCCGCACCCGCCAACGACAGCGACCCCTAGCTAGCTCCCTCCGATCACGCTCAGCCTCACCCCCCGAAACGGAGCTTCCACTGCCGCGTGCAGCTTATGTAGCAGCAGAGACTAGCAGTGGTGGACACCGGCCAGCGCTAGTTGCCACCTTTCCTCATCTGAAAAATTCACAGATAGAGTGGGTGTAAACCTTTCTCTCGTCTGAAATGGTAACATTTGATCGACCCCAACTGAAAACGAGCACCGGCGTGTCTGGCCCAGAAAGCCAGGTAATCATGGTGACGCATCAAGCGCGGTCGGTCGTTGCGTTTTTACCCTCATGCATGACTGTAAATGTGTGTTAGCTTAGTGTGTGTAGGTTTGATCATGCATGCGGTTAAGTCTGTCTATATGTAAACTCTCTTTGGTTGGTCGTGTTCGCTATCTGGCTTTCTAAGGATTCGGCCATATGTGCTCTTCGCAGGTAGCTAGCTAGATAGCCGCCTATAGCTTCTAGTTGCGTTTGTTTGCTCCTGGATGGTCGCTCTCAAGACGGCCACGGCTGGACCCCGTTTCTCGACCGACCTAAGTATATTTTCGATGGCGACCCTCCTCCAAATGGAAACAGATCCAGTGCCACACAAGCCAAAAATATGCTACTCATGTCATCCTTACTGAAACGGGGACAAAAGGATCTCAAGCCTTTCAAGACACGTCACATTTGGACAGGACCAGGGCTACAGGCCTAGTGGGCTACATATGTTAGAACTCCAAGAACTCCAGACTGATGCATGGGTTTTCTGATAATTAATTTGCACCTTTGCTTCTCTGCTGCATAATTAAGTAAAACTTTTTTTGCTGAACCTTAGTACTGTAGATATTAGTAGCTAAGTTTAGACTTTAGTACTGCATCCGTACCTACGTACATAGTATATGGGAGTGATATATGAGGTACTGAAGTGCCAAGGAGTGATCTATGTTAAACCTGATTAAAAGCAGATTAGCATGTGCAGAGAAAATTTGATGCAACTAGGCAAGTAGAACCAATGAAGTTAACTGTGCGGAATGGGGACCGACCGGAGATGCTGTGCAAGCAGGCAGCGGCGGCTGGTGTCCGGCGTGGGCTCGAACTGATCATTAGCCATCCCTACTTTATCTCTATAGGAGTATTATCCTTTCTTAATTTATTTCGGTGCTCTCGCCGGTTGGACCAAGGGCTCCACACTCGCCGTGCATATGCATATGGTTATTGATACCTTATCTGGAAATTGCGAATTTGTGAAGAAACATTCGTCCTCTTGGACTGATTTAAAAATCCCATCTGAGCTGGAAATAGGATGGCTATCAGATCGATGGCTGACAATAACAAGTGAACTGTAGCAAGCGTGCAAACCAACCGGGCAGCCGCAGATCATAGTACACAATTTTGGTAGTAAGCCCCTTGCAAGCAGCAGTGATCAATAGCATGCATGCACAGTCCAGGATCCGAGTTGCATGTGGTCCACAGTGTGATACGCACGCCCTTTCTCCGCACGCAAAAATGAAAGCTAGCTAGCTGATGTATAGCTTTCCCGGCCTTGTTTGCTGCTAATTGAGATCAATTTACACATGCGCATTTTCATCTCTCTGCAAACGATCAGTCGCATTGTGCAACGCACGTACTTCACGTGCGCGTGTATGCAACAGATTCTGCAACCTGCTTGGATCTGTACATCTCCTCAAACTTAAGGGCCCCTTTGAATCGCAGGATTGAGAAAATATAGGAATAGGAAAAACGTAGGATTTTGATAGAAATGTAAGTGTAAAACAGAGAATTGCAAAACGCATAAAAAACACAGGAATAACCGTTTGATTGAACCACGGGAAAAACACAGGAACTGGATGAGAGAGATAGACTCAAAGGAAAATTAGCAAGAGGTTAAAACTCTTGCTAAATTTCGTCCAAAATCTCTATAGGATTGTCCATTCCATAGGAATTTCAAAGGATTGGATAATCCAATCCTTTGTTTCAAAGGGCTTCATAAGAAATTTTCCTATAAAATTGAAATCATCTAAAATTTCTATTTTTTCCTTCAAATCAAATAGACCTTATCGTCTCATCGTCTCGGCCTTGTATTTGCCGGAGCTTTTAGTGATCGACACGCGTCCGGCCAGTGAGGCCGACAGCGACGTCAGGCCGGAGCAGACGCCGTTGCACCGGGGAGCTCGTAGACCGTAGCCTTTGGGAATACACAAAGAGCAGAACAAGTGGATATAATAGATACCGGCCGGTGCTTTTGCTTGGATGGCGATGCATTCTCGGATGTTTATATTTTGGGTGGACCGTATTGCAACTGGTTCTGGTGTATCTTTGGGGGAGAAGTGAAGCAAAAGGACTATACGCCATCTGGTGCATCATCTTTGCTAGATGCCGACGTCACTGGTCTTTAATCAGTTTTAGCTTAACAGTTATGTGATGAATTTATCATGGGTAAAATGGGTGATAACTGTAATATATAGGACTGGTTGCGCGTTAACCTCAGTCAAGTCCGACCGGCTTAACACCTCAGTCAAGTGAACCAGCCATTGGTCTCTCTCTTCTTACGACTGAAGAGCGTCTTGAGAGTTAGTATTGATGTTACTATTTTTTTTTAATTTTTTCTATAACTATTTGAGTCGCATGCAATTGATAGGTGCCATAACACCTATCAACTAGCTATACTTTTTACAGTGAAACAATGGCATCTGACTGGTAACATACAGTGCGACGAAAAGGGGACAGGCAAGCGTGAGGCAAATGGAATAAAGCCTCTGCAATTCACCTGCTAATTCTTGCTTGAACTGTACACTCGAAACCAGTTGCACCGTCACTTTTCTATATAGACCATGACCATCCCGATGAAGCGAGAGATGTGCATGTGAGACACTGTTTGCAGACTTCCATCATGGATGAATTCCTGCTGGTCTTATCAAAATCGAAACCCCCTGGGGCCTGCCCAGTATTCCAGTGTGGACGTGGGCTCGGCACCTTTTAACCGCACACATCATGTCTCTGCTGCATACAAGCATCAACAATTCGACATGACAGATGGCATCATTCGCCAGGCAGTTGGCCTTTCCATTCTGAAAATTTGCCGGGGCCAGGAAACAGGTTCAGGTTCAGGTAGGCGGTGCGGGCGGCCCCCAGTGCGCGCGGCACTTGCAAACGCGCTCTACTTTCTCCACATTTCTTCCTCTGAATTCAGATCGGTCATTCAGTAAGTTGCACGCCAATCATCTCAGTTTATTTCCCCCCGGATAAAATGGCGTCGTGATAGGCGGTGAAACCGTGAAAGAGATAGATTTGCGTCTCCCCGAATGACGGGGGACGTAGTAGGTTGTTAAGCTAAATGACGGCCGGAAAGCCCAAACCGAGCGGCAAATCAGCTGCGTTTGGTCGGCCCATGTCGGCCCGGCACCACGACCCTTTCAGCTGCGTCCGACGTGGCGTCACCTAACTGGTTGCGGTATGGGGGAGACGAGCCAATGGGACGTTGCGGGCTGGCCAATACTCGTCGGGCCCCACCGCGCACTCGTCCACGCGCGCATACGTACGTACACCATCATGGCTACGCGAGTGCGGCGCCTCAGCCCACCGACCGACTACCGAAATATTGGATGGTATGCGATACGAAATACTCCATAGCAGGGGTTACATACATGGGCTGATGGGCAACTGTAAAAGATGCACATACGGATACGGTGGACGGTGGTAACTTTGCAGATTTCTCACTTCATCTCCACCAATGACGCGATACCATTGGAATGAACATCAGTACACTGGGTTGCTTTTGCGATTTTGTGTTTTCTGACGGTGGTGGCCACCCTGTGCAGCCAGACTGCCGGAGAATAGAGAGGCAGTGTGATGCAGACAGCAGACCGCTACCCTGCATCTAACGAGCAGATGGTCATTATTGATCACTTGACTATATAGCAGCTCGATCATGACCCATCAGTTCATGACGACGTACAGTGCAGAAGCCACGAGAGGGCAAAAGCTATTCCTACTACGACAGTATCTGTGTCACATGGATACTGATATTTTAGGGCATATCGCAAATTTTCGATTGTGGCCGAGGGTGTGTTTAATTCACGTTAAAATTGAAAGTTTAGTTAAAATTGGAACGATGTAACAAAAAAGTTAGAAGTTTGTGTGTGTAGGAAAGTTTTGATATGATGAAAAAGTTGAAAGTTTGAAGAAAAAGTTTGGAACTAAACTCGGGTCGAACTTCCAACTTTTTCGTCACATCGTTCTAATTTCAACCAAACTTCCAATTTTGATGTGAACTAAACACACCCTGTGGAAGCATATTGTGCCTCTCGTTCTCAGAATCATTGCTCTCCGGATCACAAAAATCCAAGAGTGAGATCGACACGGTCGAACACGGATATACTCCCTCAGTCTCTTTAAACTTGACGTTCTAACTTCTGGTGAGAGTATCAAGACAGTGTAAAAATAACCTGTACGGCGCCTATACTTCTATCATTACTAATACTAGTACTACACCTTCATGTCTGTTGGTTTGGGGTGAGAGAGCGGTGAGTGATGTGGCAGAACGTCAGACTAGCTGAGCTGGGGCAGAGTAGGTCTGAACTACGAAGACAGGCTCCCAGCGACACTCTTTGCGGGATATTGCTTCAGCGCTAAAACGACCTCCTTTTCGGGACGGAGGGAGTACGTGTTTTTATTTTACCAAATGCTTACCTTGTGTCGCACGTGTCGCATCCAAGCTAATTATGAACCGTTCTTGGGATAAAACTGTACTTAACAACGGATTTTCATCCATGCCTAAAAACTACTACCTCCGTCCAAAAATATAATAACTTCTAGTAGGAATAGCTAGAAATGTTTATATTCTGTGACAGGGGAGTATACCATGGAACTATGGAAGGGAGACAACAGAAAATCCATTGTTCCCACATTCATCAAAATGGTATCTTTTATGTTCGATCCATGTATTAATGGGTATATTAATAGGGATAAAGTGTTATGGAAATTGACGATTCCCACCAAAATTAAGATTTTTATATGGTACTTCCTCCGTTTCAGG